GGTGTGTTCAGGGTCACAAGAAGACACCCCGCGCAGGCGAGAGGCTAGGTATGGTGCAAAATCTAGTGAACCCGCCCATCAAAGCTCGCGATCAAGGTTGCCCTTCTCCTCTGCCTCCCCCTTCGCCTCCTCCTTCCCCTCCTCCGCCACCTCGCTCTTCTTCGTCTCCCCCTGCTTAAAATCAAACTGCGGCTTCCAAATCGTCACCGTAAACGTCGGCCCGCAATAAAACTCCTCATCGAACTTCTCCTCGCGTCCAATCTTCATATACCCCTCAATAGGCCCCCACCGCTCATTAGCACCCCACTTATCATCGAGCTTCAGACACGCGGTCCCTGTCCCGAGTGTCCAGGAACTACCCTTTCCATTGGCGCCAAAGAGCGCATCGCCTTCTTCGATGGCGGCATCGATGTCAGAAACAGTGTGCGTGTCGAAGTAATGCTTCACCGCGGCGCGCACGGCATCGCGCTGTCTTCGCGAGAGGCGGTTGAGGTCCGCTGTTTGGTAGACGTATTTGAAGCCGTTTGTTGAGCCAGTCAGGAGGGTGCGGTCCTTTCTTGAGATGAGTTGAGTGAGGGCCTTTGGGAGTGGTGGGGGCGGGATGGTGAAGGCGGGGATCCGCTCGTGGATGAACGAGAGGATTCGCGGTGCGGCGGCCGTGTTGAGCTCGTAGTCTGAGTCCGAGGACGAGGCCCAGCTGGTGTAGCTGCCGACCAGGGCGCCGAGGAAGACGAGCGCGTAGAAGATTGCTTTTTCGAGGGTCATGGTTACGGTTGGCAGACTGGAGAAGGAGACTTCAAGGTTGATTACAAGAAAGACGAAAAAGATTCGCAGCGACGAGCCTTTTAAAGGCAGTCGGGCGATGATGAGGCGGCAGTGCGGCACCGCGAGGCCCACTGGGCGGCGCTGGGCGGTTCCGACTGGCTCGCCCGGCTGTGCCCCGCGGTCCACTTGGGGGCTAAGCCTCGACGCCCAGGGCACTCGGCGCTGGAGCCTGAACTAGATCCCTGCATCCTCAGAACACCAGACTGCCCTTCTTCATGTCTCTTCAGTTTGTCATTTCACGGACGAGATGGAAGAATGTGCCGGGCCAACTGACCTCCCAACAGAGCTTATCCTCCAAATTGCCAGTTATCTGGGCATTCCCAGTCTCAACGCTCTGTCGCAAGTAACGAGGACATTCTGTGCGATATTGTTTTCTCTGGGTTATTATTGAGAGGAATAATGATGGAGATTGTATTCGGGATCGGGAGCGGGGTCTCCATGAGGTGGTGGCGGTGGAAGATGATGCTGCTGCTCCCACGCGTGTCTTGAACGCTGGGCAGCGGCACTGGCTTGAGGCTCTCGGGGAGATGTATAGACCAGAATGATATTCAGTGATACACCATGGAAATAGGATCCCCTACCTAGTCTACATCCAGAAGGCACACAATTCAGCAATCGCCCCCCTACATATTCAGAAATTCATCACTAAACGGAAAATCCGCAAACCCCTCCAACGCCCTTGGCGTATAGAACGACTCCCTCCGATACGGCGCCAGTGGAATCCCCTCCCTAATCCTGAAAACCAAATCCGGATTCGAGGTAAACGGCCTCCCAACGACAACGACCACATTCCCTCTCCCGCCAACGTCCTCCCCCTCCGCATTAACGAACCTCCTCGCAGACTCCGCATCGAACCCACCAGCAACAAGGATCGGACCACTCCATAACTTAAACGCAAACTCCAACCCCTCCCCAACAGGCGCATCAACATCCTCAAACCCATGCACGCGCGCACTCACCAGATGCAAATACGCCAGTCCCAGCGCAGCGAGTTCCCGAATAACATGCGCAAACTGCGGAACCGGATCAGCCATGCGCATGCCCTGCACGCGGCTCCACGGACTAAGTCTCAGCGCCGTCCTCTGAGGCCCGACGGCGCGCGCAACGGCCTGAACAACTTCAAGCGCGAACCGGGATCGCTTCGCGATGGATCCGCCGTATGTGTCTTCCCGGGTATTGCACGTATCCTGCAGGAATTGGTCGATGAGATACCCGTACGCCCCGTGGATCTCGACGGCGTCGAAGCCCGCGCGCATTGCGTTTGTGGCCGCGGTCGCGAAGTCGGTTACGGTTTGCTGGATCTCATCGAGTGCCATCGCCCTCGGAACGGCGTGCTCAGCGTCCAGTGGAATCGCACTCGAGCTCAGAACCTCAACCCCCCGATCCCTCGCAAAAGCAGGATCAACAGCCCTTCCCACAGCAAGAAGCTGACAAACAATAAAACTCCCTTGGTTATGCACCGCATCCGTAACCGTCCTCCAGCCAGCAATCTGCTTTTCATTATAAATGCCCGGCCCGTTCGCGAACCCAATCTGGCTCGGCGAGATGAATGAGGCTTCGGCGATGAGCAGCGTCCCTGGGACGCAGGCGCGCTGGCTGTAGTAGGTGGCCATGGCGATGCGGTGCGTTAGATGTATGCAGCCGAGGTTGAGGGGGGTGAAGAGGGTGGACATTTTGGAATGGGTAATTGGGTGGTTGGTTGGGCTTTGGGGAGGTAGAAGACTGGGTCCATTATCGACTCAAGGCCTGCTGTTGCGCGTGTTCTTATATACATGCAGTACCCGGTGGGAGTGGGGTCATCATACAGAGTGGCAGAGATATGTTAAATTCAGTCTTACAAATTCACATTGCCATAGAATGACAACGGGTCCGGGTCTCCAGGTGGCAGCTCTAAATCACGGCACCAACGAAGAGCGATTCATGGTAAATTGTCCCGAGGCGTGCTAGTAAGACGATTTGAGCCCGCTCATATTCTAAACCCACTTGGACTACCAACCCCACCAATGGTCGACCTGAATTGTATAAATAACATCATTTAGCTATCTGTGCAATGTCTCCGAGTGTTCACGAAAGTCTAGTTCAGAGGCTGATCACGCAATGCTACTATAAGCGCCATTAATAATTCCTGCTCCCGGGGCATCCCGCTCCGGATTATCCCACATCGGGCTTTCCCACAGGCCATCCCACATTGAAGTGAATCTACACCTCCACGCTAGCAGTTATAAATCCAGCTCTCATCTCCATCGATTCGACTTCCATCTCATCGTTCTCTAGTTCTAAGATCGTCATGACTTCCAATATCCCGCAAACTACCAAGCAATGGACCGTCGAGGGCTTCGACGGACCCTCTTCGCTCAAGTTCTCAGAAGTACCTATCCCATCCCTGCAGGATAATGAAGTTCTAGTCCAAAGTGAGTCAATTCCGGCCCTGTCTTTGAACCCGTGCATTGAATACTCATGTCTCCAAACCTAGTCAAGGGCGCCACCCTCAACGTACGCCCCCCATCCCCACCTCCGCATAAAACCCCCAGACCCCCCAAACTAACAACACTGTTCAAACATCCAGCCCCGCGACCTCCTAATAACCCAAGGAAAATATCCCTGGACCGTAAAACCCTCTATAATCCCCGGCTCCGACGGCTCCGGAATCGTCCTCGCCACAGGCCCCTCCGTCACGCGGTTCTCCCCGGGCGACAGGGTCATCACGATGTTGAACCAGAAGCACATCTCGGGCTCGCTGACGAGAGATATCGCGAATTTCGGGACCGGCGCGTCGATTGACGGGACCTTTCGCGAGATTGGTGCCTTCGATGAGCAGGCGCTTGTTGCTATGCCAGCCCATTTGAGCTTCGTTGAGGCGGCGGCGTTGAGCTGTGCGGGAGTGACGGCGTGGAATGCGCTTTTTGGGGGTGCGGGGCGAAAGGAAAGTGTAGGTAATGGAGGGTGGGTGCTTACGCAGGGAACTGGTATGTCTACTTTTCTTGCCCTATCCTCCTACTCTATAGAGACTCGGTGTATTTTCACCTTCAACAAAGACACTAACGCGGATATAACAAACCAGGCAGCGTAAGCCTCTCCGCCCTCCAACTCGCCAAAGCCGCCGGCGCGCGCGTAATCGCGACAACAAGCTCACCGTCCAAAATCCCGCTCCTGGAATCCCTCGGCGCAGACCACGTCATCAACTACCGCGAGACACCACACTGGGGCGCACACGCAAAAGAACTAACCGGCGGAGTCGGCGTCGACCTCGTCGTCGAAGTCGCAGGCCCAACGACACTACGACAGAGCGCCGAGAGTCTCAAGCTCGATGGGCAGATTAGCGTCGTTGGGTTTATTGGTGGGCAGGGTGAAAGAGAAGCAGACGTCCAGGGGCAGGTGCCGAGTTTGCTGGAGACGTGGTTGAATCTGTATACGGCGCGGGGTGTCTGGGTGGGGAGTCGCGAGCAGATGGAGGCGATGTGTCGGGTTGTTGAGAAGAGTGGGATCCGGCCTGTGATTGATCAGAGGGTCTTCAAGCTGGAGGAGTTGAGGGAGGCGTATGAGTATTTGGCTGAGGGGGGGAATGTGGGGAAGATTGGGATTGAGATTCAGTGAGAAACAGATAGACGTACTCTAGTTTAGTGACATCAAATGAAGCAATTTTTCTCTGCTCTGGGTTCAGTCGTGATACTCACGCTCACGTTCTACTCTCCTTTGGCAGTACCAGTTACTACGGTCAGTCAGGAATATACTGGCTCAAAGCTTTCAACAGCCCACCAGTTGTCCAAGAGCACCGACCAGGAACTACGAACAACCGCATCACCCCCAGGAACGGTGGCAACCATGGTCAGAGCTTGAAGGGCCTGAACCACGACGAAGACCTAGGATATAATGGTCAATCGAAGCTTCTAGAACTCTGGACGCTTTGCAGCAGCTTCTACCCGTGGCTGTGGACTTCAAGTGGTACGTTTCCACTACCCCGAACGGTTGATGGAGAGAAAATGAGGTATAGAAATATGTACGCTGCGTGGAGGTGTCTGGCTCGCGATATTCTTGCTCCCTATCTTACTTCGTTTGGTTGTAGTAGCAACAGCGAAGTATCCTCGAGATGTTGCAGGACTCAGGAGCCATCAAGCACTTGAACCAGCCAATTCCTCCTCCTAATTGTTATATCTGAACAGCATCTTAGTCATCCCGGCCGGGTGGCCTAATGGTAAGGCGTTTGATTTCGGCGGTGAGAATTTCCCGCAAGGGAGAACACCTCGGGTCTCAAAAGATTGCGTGTTCGAGTCGCGCCTCGGTCGTTTGTTTTTTTCCGCCCCTCACTCAATCAACCAGATAGATGGTAGATACAAAAGAGTGTATGTATGTATGTCCATCTACAAAGTGTTCTTCGCCCGTCGCGGCTTGACTTCCTAGTTCGGATGCCGCTGCTTTTATGAGGGGATTTAAAGCACCAGTTGCTCAGGAAGCATCCAGCAAACACTCTAGGCACTCCTAGTCTAGTCCTAGAACATGTACTGAACTATTCTAGAGCAACCCTAGAGTACTCCAAGCATAATCCCTAACGACTCCCTGGTTGCTTCCTAAGCACCACGGGAAGCTAATAAGGAAAACCACGTGATATATTTATTCTGCTGCCCAAGCCCTCTATACTACCTGCTTCGCAGTGCCACTATCACGTGATTGCGCTGATTCTACCCGTCTTTCAAAAACGCTCGACGTCGTCTTTCGACACGGAGCGTAGGCTGGACATGTCAGAGGGGAAATTTTGTTTGCTTCTTTAGCTGCATGAATGAGCAACAAATAGAAATTTTGTTAGATATGGCAGTATACACTATAGGCGCTGTCTTTCATGCACTTCAAGGTCGTACAATAGTAACCCATGCATGAGAATTAGCTTGAACGCAAGGTTTCTTAGCTTGTGGAAAATGAATCACTTCTTAACCCTTAACCAGGCATATACGCTACAAGATCACTGACACTTTTACATCTCTCATGGACTTGGACTTGTTAGCATAATATGGGAGTTTGCACGGACTCCTTGTGCTGAGAACCTTGAAGCACTAATATAATCAGCACCACACTTTTGATTTATGTATCTCTGATTGATCCATGGTGTAACACACCACTTCAGCGCATTAGTGCCACGTATGTATATCTACTCCGCTTTATGGAATACTGTGAAACGGACTTGCAGCCTTGGGCTTCAGATGGCCAATTATCAAGTCTTCGGATGTTAGTTCGATGAGGAGGCATATGAAACTCTATGTGAGGTTCCCCCGCTTCGCCGACTGAGTTGAAATTGACCAAGTGCATGCAAGTATGTGTGCTCCAAAGGCGATTTAAGCGCAGCAAACATATGAATTATGCTAGAATAAATATCCTTCATGAATAAATTCTTCAGTCCCAACCCCCTCCTCTCAAGAACCCATTACGCATCCAAAGCAACAATGGCTTCTCTTTGGGTCGCAGACATTCCTCACCCAGATTCAACAAACTTCGAGAAAAGAGGGCCTTCTATCACAGAGGTCGAGCACTTGTCTTCTTACAACTGGATTGAATCCTCCACCCCCACGATCGCTGTTCCCGGTTGTCCTCCGCTTTGGTGTCCACCTAATACCCCCAAGAAGGTGCCTAAAGACTCTAGGCTTGTTTATATCACTCAAAATGCGGTTCGTCATCCTAAAAGTCCGCTAGAGCCACTTTTTCGGTCGTTGTATCTTGAGAATCCTTCATACAACATCCAGACAGTCGACCTAATAACCGATCAAAACAATGTTCGCAAACTCCTGTCATTCGTTAATCCACGTCTCTCTAAAAATGGACTTGAACCTTTCACTATTAATGTTGAGGTCACGAGCAATACAGCAATTTTTTGTCGGGCAGAAACCGAAACCTACACGGTCATTGGACCACATAAGTTCAGAGGCTATGGGCACGAGTTTGAGAAAGCATTCACCACTAGTCAGGTTCCCCAGAGCACTGGATATCATAGAGTCATCTCCTACAAGTTCAGCAATATGAAATTCGTCGTGCGCTACGAAACTGACGGATATCTGGGCGAACATTCAGGAGTTCGGACTCAAAATCCGGATTCGGATCATGGGAATCTACTGAACATGATGGAAACCCTGTCTCTTGCCGGATCCAAAAGTCACTCTCGGCCTGCTCCCAACTCCAAACTAGTTATTAAAGAAGAAGGCAAACAGGTTCCAATTCAGTCAACTCTTGAAATCAAAACACGCGCATCTCGTAATCCTATTCGCATCCACGAAGTCCTTCCGCAGCTGTGGGTATTGCAAACACCCAATCTTGTCCGTGCCTACCATAATGGCGGCTTATTTGGACCGCCAGAAGTCGAAGATGTCACTCGTGAAATTGCCAAATGGGAAGAAGATCATGGCAATGATCTTATGGGGCTGGCTATGTTGATTAAGGAAATCATCAGAGTGGTTAGAGACAATGGCGGGAACGCGGTTGTCAAACATGATGGTAGAAGCAACAGCCTTGAGGTTCGGACGAGAGATGGAGAGAGGATGCTACCGCTTGATCTTTATTCGAAACTTGGTGATGAAGTGGAATCGACTCAGGCGATCGGATCAGATCCTTGAAAAACGACACTTAAAATTGGTGACGCTGTCTACAGTATTAACGTTTCGATGATACCATTTTTATCATCCTTTATTAATTTCCAACGCCTTGCCCAGCCGCAACGGACTGATTTCGTCCTTGAGGATATTCCATTGTTTGATATTGCTCTCAAGGGCCTGGAATCAGGCTATCAACAATGTTTTCACTCTTTGCGAGGTGATATCCCTCAGTACCATACTCTCTGTGAGACATATGATTATCTTGGGGTCGACGTACTTAGAGGGCAGTCCGTGGATAATATTTTCGCCGATCTGAGAGCCTGCAAAACCAACTACAAACTCGAGTATAAGCGTTATTAAATCGTGAGGGGTGATAAATCCCAAGCACAAGACGCGGCATTTCGACTTCTATTCCTGATAATACGCGGCGAATTTGGTGATGAAAAGAAAGACCCTGTCAAGGTATACAACGCTGTGCTATTTGTTGTCTCACATTCAGGTACCTTCAAACTTGGCACGAGGACTGCCGTGCGAGCGGCTTTTAAGGAGCGGTTTGTAGTATCTCCTAAACAACAAAGCCAGTTGGAGCGTTGGAGGAAAAAAGATGTTATTAACCGGTCGGATGACGAGGCTACAACCGAAGATGAGTTTTCTGAGCCATACCTTTCGGACGATTCTTAGGCAGTGCTATCATAGCACGCAGTGTGCGGCGAGAAATAGCAAAACAACTCATGTTGATCCATCAATCTCTTTACCTTGCAACTTTAAAGGATACAAGCTTTCTGTGGACAGCATAGAACCAGAGTTCTGACCGAAAGCGCGGGGATCGCCTATTGCGTCCCACCGATCTACGCTTAATTTCTGTGCCAGTGTCCCGGCGATGGGGCTTAGAAGTGACTAGCGAGTCACCAGATGCTCAGGCTGGTTGTGTGCTCCCTGTATATGGTGCGCTTTTTCATGCACTTAGGACTTTAAGGACAATTCTTTGATTGCAAGGGACCTATAGTAACGTTGCCTCTGTTTCAGATTGGAGGGAGCCTGGATGATAAAAATGCTCCCTATACTCTATCTTTGTAGCCCGCCCCAACCCCGCCTCAAACTTCCATCAAATTTGAAAACACATCAAGCATCTTCTTCCCCTTTCTTGCACCGGACTTTGCCCATGTCCCGCAAGCTACACGGATCACCCCTGGTGCAGTATATAACAAACATCCTTGAACAGGTGGGTAGTGAGACGCCCAAATTCATACTTTTCCTTGCATGCTGACGCATAATCCTCGCTGCACCCAAGTGGGCGTCTACGCAATGCCCGGGACTGCATCAAACCCAGCAGTACTTCTAAACTAACCGTCAACTTGACCCCCGGATACGCAGGAGCCTCGAGAGACACAGGGCACTCTCACGGGGTAGGCATCTGTTATACTGGTGCGAAAGGGAAGGAGACCTGAGGGTATGTAGGGCGGAGTTATAATGGAGGCGTGACCATCGGGAGTACAGACCAGGTTGGTTCGGGAGGGGGATGCACTGTAATGTAGGAGAATAATTCTATCATGTTTGGAGCAATATGCCTTGATCAAGTTCCAACCGCTACAGTATCAAGATTTTCATCCGTCCATTGTCACCCAACGCCAAAACATCAATCCTTCGGTACAGTACTATAGGTGTGCGAGATTCACATGATGAAGCTGCTCCTCAACGAATCTCTCTGCACGTCGAAGTTCTCACTATCACTCTCGAGCGCCTTAATGCTAGCAATCATGGAGGATCACTTGCGTGCACCCATGATTTGATCCATCGTCACGAAAGCGGGTTTGCACAACAACGAGTTCGAGTAGCCGAGGACGAGGGCGGTCTTGCGCATCGATGTGTCATCGAAAATGGTTGGGGACACGCACAGGACTCCCAGTGCCTTGATTCATGTTGGCCGGCTTTGGGGTGACGTGCGAGATAATAAACCCAAGAAGAAGTCAGAGATTTCGCCTATCGATTACAAGATCAATACAGTCCATATGAAAGTTCAGTATGTATATGAAGGAACAACGTGTTCCTCTTGCCTCCTGAAATGTCAGTGAATCTCCAACTTAACTGGCAAGGTGGCGAGATGGACGTTGTTTGCTCTACGTTGGCGATGAGGCGCACGATATTTATGTGCATCAACCAATGTAATATTCAATCAATCCTCTCTGTATGAGAGAGAGGGAGAGCCAGAAGTTTGCGATGCGACTCCAGACGGCACGCGCTGTTCCTACACGGACCATACTCCAAGGAATTTCCAAGTTGTCCAGGCTGGCCATCTTCTTCCGGCTACCTTGACGAGTTGACAATCCGGCGGAGTGGTTCTGCGTCGCACTGGCGGTTGGAATTCGAACCCGGCCGCTCGAACCCCCAATCACTGGCATCTGAGTAGTCCCGGATGACTCCCGAACGGCGAGGAAGGGAGGACGGATGAAGAGTTGTCGGGTTTCGGGGACTTACTGCGGCTTTGAACGTCACTATGGTTACTTTTCTGGTTCAAACGCCGAAGTAAGCCGAGGCAGAGCGTTCAATATAGCTAGATTATGTTCTCATTATCATGCTCGTTGGTGATTTCGCATATATCCCACTAGATTACCCTCCTCTCTCTCTCTCTATCTCTACTTGATCAAAAATCGCACACCCTTACTATCCATCTTGACAAACGGGATGAAAATATCATGAATAACGCGGACATC